TCTAATTTCTGGAAATCATATGTATACGATTTTATAAATAAATTAAGCTGTTCAACTTATTACTTTCATTTCCAACGTAAATTTTCTTTCAATTATTCGTACAACCATCATCATTATCATTACCTCAGTGCCGCAAAGGCTCTCACTTACGGTGGGGTAGGGAAATCGGATGTACGCAGTCTTACCCCTGTATTAAAGCACAGAGGGGTACACATTTTAAAAAAACATTTTTTACTAATCAAATACTAATTAAAGACATTTATTTAATTTGCACTGTCTTTTTATATACAGTACGGAGTATAAGACTACTATTGATGGTTTCTTCCTTGTTGAAATTAGTATTGGCAGCTTAGGGAAGTCTGGAAATATAGTACAAGTTGAGAACATTCATATCAGCAATGCTTTCTTGTATGGAACCACAAATGGAGCTCGCATTAAGACATGGCAGGTACTAAATAATTGAAGAAAAGAAAGGATATAGGGAAAACTATCAAATAAGCCCCCGTACTATACCGAAAAAGTCGATTAGACCCTCGTACTTTACAAACACTCAATTAAGTCCTCGAACTATTAAAAAACGTTCAATTAAGCCCTTTTGGTGGGTAAGTAACCGATTTCCCGATTAAACGACGACGATGGCGACGATGTGCTCGAACCCCAGCAACGGTGGCTTCCGGGAAACAGGTTACATTTAACCTGGAAACCGGTTACTTACCGACCGAAAGGGCTTAATTGAACGTTTTTTCATAGTTCGAGGACTTAATTGAGTGTTTGTAAAGTACGAGGGCCTAATCGACTTTTTCGGTATGGTACGAGGGCTTATTTGATAGTTTTCCCAAGGATATAAGTTCATCCACTACTTAATTAAATTTATGGATATCTTGGGTCTGACTTTACAATCACTCCAAAAAAATTATAGGACTCACACGGATTTAACACAAATTAATCGATGATTTCGTGTCAAATAGCTCATGACAAAGTGCCGTTGACACAGATTTGACGTATCCATACCAAATCATCTATGAACTTTGGCCCATCCTTGTCAATCATGTTATTTTTTTCATAGTGAACTACAACAAGTATAATGCAAAATGATATTAAGGCTCGACATTCTACGATGACATTAATTAATATATAGCACATCTTCATATATTATTTCATCATCCAATGAATATGTTCAAATTTAAAGCTCCAATAGGATTATTTTAGAATGATAAGTATCAAACAATAGTCACTAAAGATTCCATGTCACACACTCAGATATTAAAAGTATGGTCCATAGCATTTTTCAATCAATTTAATTAGTGAGTTTAGGTACAATCTTTTAAAGGAGAGTACGTAGTTTTCTTTTTCAAATGAAGCTTTTCAAATTCATTTATAAAATATCCATTCCTGTTTTCACTTGTAGTCATATTTTCATTTAAAAAGTAGTTTAGATATACATCTTGATGTCATTTACACTTGCTTATAAACTTATCTTATCTATCTCAAATTAATTTCACATTTCATTGGAAATAGTTGCCGTCAAGGCTTTTCTTTTATTCATTTTTTCTCTTTAACTAACCAATTTTGATTATCTTAATAAACTTTGTTCCAAAGGGGAATTCAATGAGCAAAGAAAGTCCGAGTTATTGTTTACCTAAAATAATTTATGACATTTCACTTACACTATTATTTTTATGGTTACTTTTAAACTTCACAGGTTGGAAGAGGGTATGTCAAAAACGTAATATTTGAGAATCTTTTCTTAGACTCAGTTGACAATCCCATCATCATTGATCAATACTATTGCGACTCACAAGAATCCTGTGACCAAAAGGTAAACATAACTCACTCACATTTTAATCAAATGCTATCTTTAATTTCTTGTTTATCGCTCCTACTAGTTAAACTTGACAAAAGGGACTATTTGGGATTTCAGAACTTAAGAGTGTTCATTTCAAATGAAATTTAATGGTCTAGCTTGGTTTAGTTGGATCCTATTTGTTCTGGTCTGGTCAATTTTGTCTATTTTGATCTATTTAAGTCTTGTGTTACCTTATTAGACCTTATGTTTAAACTTTTATTAAAAGTACAAACACACACTTGCTCATGTCTATTGTCACTTTGATATAAATAAAAACTACTACCTTCCTAACATTCATATATTCACATTTAAAAGTAGATGAGATTATGAATAGTAAAAAGGGATAAGTTATTGAGGGTACGATGGGGAAATAATGAATTAGAGTGGTGGAATAAAAGATAAATTCAAAAAAGTAGTTGTAATAGTGTGTTTATTTAAAATTATAAAGGCATGATGAAAAGATATGAATGTTAGAGTTTAAAAAGGAAAGTGGAAAATTATGAATATTAAGAAGGACGTATGTTCATATATGACTTTGATGTACAAAAAAAGGTCATTTTTTCTTGATCCAAAAAGGTGGAATCTCCCACCCATGGATCCCCAACCACCCCGACCCGACAAGGCACGTGGGAGGATGTAAATCGCGGTGACTCAGTCAACGAAGTGGCACGGTCGTTGTGAGATATAAATTTTGGTACCTTGATTCAAATTTCTCACCACTCAACCAACCTAGTGTATGTTTGAATGAAAACAGGGAAATGGTGGGGTCCAAATTACTGGAGTTGTGTTTAGGAACATATATGGAACATCAAGCACAGATGTTACTGTGAACCTCAACTGCAGCAAATCCACACCATGCACCGACATAAAGTTGCAGTTTGTACATTTGGAATCAGTGTCACCTGGGAATCTTGTCACTGCTCAATGTGATAATGCTTATGGCCAGGAATTTGTAGTCGCACCTGGACCTTGCTTGCTTGATTCTTGACCTACTCTTTTTTTTATCCCCAGTTGATTATTATTTCTGATTATGATGGCAATCTATGCTATGGTACACAAAGAAAATATGGTGTAATTATGATGGCATTCCAGTCCAGCTGGTTGTGAGGTTATCGTGCTTAGTGAGAGGTCTCGAATTCGAAACCCGCTAGTCACATAAGGGTTTGAAACTCAATCGTACTCTCCCATTTTCTCAAAATGGGAATCATTTATCATTGTGAAAATAATCATGTTTTATTTATAATCCTTTAAATTGTACCCCTAAACATAACAAAATTAGGAATGAGTTTAAACCTTTAATTGTATAGTGATACCAAGAAGTCGTCAACTAGATAAAAAACTTTATATTATCAAAAACAGTACATTATAAAAAGCATAATTACTTTTTCAAATTTAGAAATAGAAATCAAACCTACCACTTGTCTGTTTCTTTTATCAGCATTCGACTTTAGAAAAAAAAAACAATTCTATAATATGCTTTTCTTCTAGAAAAAATGGAAACGAGTTTTCAAAAATGAGATACTTCTCTTACAACTATGATCACCACTTATCAGATTTCTTTTTTTTTTGAAAGATAACTTACTTAATATTAATAAGGGTAATAAGGAACAAAGTTGACATGTTTGAGAATTGAGACTACTATGGGGTGAGACATAAAATTGGACACTTGCTTAGACGCGATCCAGCTCGCTAACCCCTCAACAATGTAGATTCTATCAGTAGCATAGTTGCACCAGCTACTTAAATGAGAACAAAAATTAAAGAAATTGCTCTAATTAGATTAAAAATAATTAAAAATAAAGACCCGGTTTTCCATCCTCCGAAAAGTAATTTGTGATTTGTCCAGGCAACGTTAAAGTTAATGGTGTGTATCCTCCACTTATGATGTTTCTATAATCTATAATAATAAATGACTTCTTAATGTCTTCACCACTCCACCACTCCCAATCTTACCCATCATCGCTAATGGTTAATGACAACAAAGTGGTATGACGAGGGATGGACCTGATTGGCAGACAACAGTTCATTACAAGTCCAAAACTGGGTGCGATATTATGCAAGATCGGACCGGGTCCATAAAATCGGTCCTAGTGCACGCCTGATATCCGACCAGGTTCCAGGCGGTCCTGATCCCGATTCCAGGTTCCAATATTTGGGACCAAACCGAGGGATTCCAGACCCACTTTAGCTTAAAATCGGGTGAAAAACTATAACATGTTCGAGACCGAACAACCTAGATATCAAGAATCGCATTAATACGGTTTGGACTCAGGCCTTGATACATAATGGGAAGGATCGACAGCCTTAGCCCAAAACTGGGACCGAACTGACCCAGGTCCACCCCCAGTTATAACTCTAAGAATATGACCACCATTAATACAGTTTTCATAGTCTACTGAGGCAATTCAAAATGGTATATTTGATGGGAAAAGTTTTATTACGGTAAAGTTGTGATTTGAAATGATATTTACCATTGGTTAATTGGTCCAGGTTTGTCATAGCATTGGTTACCAGTGATTTGAAACGATATTAAATAGGCAGGACTGGGACTAAAACTTTCGGACCCGGTACCGGCCCAAGTTTGTACCAGGACCAGGTCAGGCCGGGCCTAAACATTACAGGGTCGGGACTGGGCCGGAACGGGCCTAGGCAATTAATTAAAAAAATAGTTCAATCGGGTTCAGGACCGGCCGAGTCGGGCCTAAAAAATGAGCCTGAAGCCCACCCTTATAGCCTCCGGTCTCAGTCCATCCCTACTTTGGGACAACCCACAAAAAAAAGGGAAAGAACATTCTATGAGATAGCACACTTTGTTAGTAGTAGTCTAGTACTCTAGTAGTCTAGTAGAGTGCCTAAACGGAAGATTAATTGTTCACCTGGGACCGGGAGGTGGGACAAGGGAAAAAAACTCTCATTTTGCTCGACTCTCAAAGAATGCGTCTTCCTATAAAGTCCCTTTATATTCAATAAACAGACTTTTTAGTCCTCGATATACTGGAATTTATTTTTACTGTATACAAATTTGTGTTGGGTTACCATTATTTGCAATGAAGCCAAAGACTCACTATGTTTTGGCTTGAGAATACGATGAAATAAGCAAAATGACTCACTAAACTCTCTGCATTTCATTATAATGAAGCAACAGTTAGGGATGGACTCGGGTCGGGCCCGACCGGGCTTTTTTGTGGGGAACTTAGGCCCAGAACTGGCCCGGGTACCTATCGGGGCGGGCCGAACCGGGTATTATTATTTTTTTTACACATTAATTCAAGAATTGTTGGATATAAAAAAGTTAAAGTATATTTATGTGAAATATGTAGTACAATTGAGAATTGAGAAAAATTTAAAACACGAAATACATTTTCTAATAAATATAATCAATCAGAATCTTCGCCATATTCGATTGTTTCCTCCATAAAGTGACGGGCGGGGGCGATGCACACTTCTTGAGTTCTACGTTTCGCCTTCAACCAATCGTGGAAGCATACAAGCGTCTCAAGAGAGTTCACGCTCAATCTCGTTCTATAATCCGTTAGCACGTTGTCAGCCGCACTAAATTCTTGTTCCACGTCAAATGTTTATACCGGCATTGCTAGCACTTGCTTAGCCATCTTTGATAAAATCGGGAACGTTCTTACTTTTTCCTTCCACCACTTTAGAACGTCAACGTCATCCCCTTCTTCATAATCAACAGGAAATGTTAGATACAAAGAAAGCTCGTTAATCGAGCTTTGTTCATTAACGGGAGTTGATTTACTTTTTTTCATAAGATTGCCATATGCAGATTTAAAAAGTGATTTTCTTTTAGATGAAGAAGATGTTCATGCCAGGGGAGGGGGTGCGTTATCATATTGTGCATGAAACTCATTAAATAATTGATATAATAAATTACTAACCTCTTGGAATTCTTGTTTAGAGTCTATGGCCTTATCGTCGTACACAGGCAATGGATCTAAAAAGAAGCATAATAGTAATCTAAACATTGCCCAAACGAATCAAGTCTAAAACGAGGATCAAGAATAAATGCAATGCCATATATATGAGGAATATGTGAATAATATTTTTAAAAAAAATCTTTCATGAAAGAACAAAAATAACTAACGTAAGCGGCATCGCAAAATTCACAAAAAGCGCCAGAGAGATTAACAGCTTCAACAAAAAATTGGTTTGCGGGAGGTGTATAAACATGACTAAAAGTTTGAGTTGCATTATTAAAATATACCAAAACATTCACAATTTTTTACATAGTGTCGATGTCAGTCGGGTTTATAATATAGTTAGCATATTCTTTTAAAAAAGCAAGAAAATGGTCTTTAAATCTAATAAGTACAACAATTAAGTTATAAGTACTATTTCAATGAATAGATAAATCTTTAGGAAAAGCACAATATTTGACACGTATATCCCTCAAATATTGACGTCATTGCATTTTTAATGGATTACTAGCCCAAATAAGTGTAATCACCCCTTCACTACCTCCATAGCATTTCCCAACGCGGCTAGTCCGTCTTTTACACATAAATTTAGAATATGACATGCACAACGCTGATAAAAAACTTATCCATCAAAGTAGAAGAACCACAAAATTCACGCAATCTAGGTATAGCAGCAGTATTATTACTAGCATTATCAAAACCCATAGCAAACACCTTAACAATCAAATTGTACGCAATTAAAATACGCTCAAGCAGAATATAAATATTATCAGTGGTGTGTCGATCATTAAATTCACGAAAAGCAAGAACACGTTTATGCATTTCCCAGTCATCATCAATATAATGTGCAGTCACACCCAAATAATATAAATGATGATGTAGATCATCCCATATATCACTACAAATACTACCACGTCCATCAAAGTTTACGAAAAATATTTGTAATTTTTCCTTTTCCAGAACATATTACCTTATACCTTCTTTTTTAATCGTTTTGCGACTATAATTTCAAAATTGAGGATTTAAAGTACCTTGAGCATATTCTTTTAAAGCAAGACTTTCAGAAAAAATGAAAGGCAATTTTTCTTCAACAATTAAATGAGACATACCAGTCAAATGTCTTTGATCATCGTAGGAGAAATTACCAAAGGGTTGGCCAGTTCCAAACCTCGTTATTTGAGTTTGCTTCCCCTTGCTTTGATCTATTTTCGCATTCACCACGGGGTCTTTCGACTGAAGATGCCTTTTCAAACTGCCGTATCCTCCGGAAATTCCCAAACTATAAATTTTGGGGCAATGTTGGCAATGTGCGTACCATTTTTCAGTTTTCTTGTCTTTCAACTTTTTAAAATTGCCGTCAATAATTGGTGATACATCTTTCTTACTGAGTTGGGATGAACCAGCCTCGTCCTCGGCCTCGACCTCTTCCTCATCGTCCGGGTGTCGTCACCCTCACCCTCAGCTGTCGGCGGATCCTCCTCCGCATCGTCATCCTCGAGCTCATCTTCAACCTCGGGAATGTCATGTTGTTGGTAAAACCGCCCATCTTGTTGGGCCAACAGTTGTTGTAGTTGCTCGTCGGACATTGCATCTGCATCTCTCCGGTGGTAGTCCGTTTCAAAATCATTTCGGGTTTGAGAAGAAGACCCGGCCCGTCCTTTACCTTTACCTTTGCGTGAACTAGGATGATTCCTCGCAATCTCCTTGGTTCGGTTCCGGTTGACGTTACTCATATCTACAGAAGCTCTACCACGTTGCATCTTAAAAATGTAGCAAATATTAAATTCTAACTATTATGTTAATATTAGTACAATAGTAATGCAAGTAATATGAAACGTTCTAAATTTTATTTTTTATTTAAACCTATTTTAGTAAATACTGTTTTTTAAATCTAACTAGTTTTTTAATGAAAAAAACTAACTATTTTTTTAAATACGAACTACTTTTTGAATAACTAGTTTTTGTTAATTAAATGTTAATGACAAAAATCTAACAATTTTTTTTAAATAAAATTCGAAGTAATTAGAAGTAAAATTCGAACTATTTTTTAAATCTAACAAGTATAATGAAAAAAATCGAACTAATTTTTTTTAAATAAAATTCGACTACTTTTTTTAAAATGAATAAATTCGAAGTAAAAAAATCTAAGTAGTTAACTAATTATTGTCTAACAAGTGTGACTTTAATTAATTGGAAAATGAGAAATCTAACAACTAACAATTAAGTACTTTTATACTTTAATGACAAATATAGCAATGAACTAATACGAAAATGATAAATGTAACAATTAACAACTTTTATACTTTAATGACAAATATACCAATGAACTAATAGGAAAATGAGAAATGTATCAATTAACTAATATTAATAAAAAATGTATGAATGTGTAAACTAAATTTATGGGAGTGTGAGTGTATAAGTAATATGATTAATAATTACTATTAATTAAAGTGTAACTAATATATATAATATATTGTTTATAGTATATAATATATAAGTATACTACTATAAGATGAGTAGTACACTTATATTTGATACTTTAATATATATTTATATATATACTTAATATATGTATTTATAAGTAGATAATAAGTATATAAGTAGATATAATAATTGTTTTAACTAATATATAATATAATGTTTATAGTATATAATATATAAGTATATTACTATAAGATGAGTAATACACTTATATTCAATACTTTAATATATATATAAGTATATATTAAGTAGATGTAATATGTATATGTAACTAAATAACAATAATATAATAAGTAGATATTAAATTAATATGAAGTATATATAAAGTAGATAATAAGTATATATTAAGTAGATAATTAAATTTTAGTAATATAATATATGTATTTATAAGTAGATAATTAATATATCAGTAAATATAATAATTGTATAAAAATATGTAGAGAGAATTGAAGAAGATGAAGATGGAGATGATTAAGAATAATAGAGAATAGAGAGTAGGAAGAGTTGGAGAAGATGTGTAAAAAATTGTTTAGAAAATAGGATTATTTATAGTTTTTTATACCCCCAAACCCCCCACCCTGCCCTCCAACGGCTATAGAGCCGTTTGGAGGTGTTCCCAACAGCTATAGTGCCTCCAATTAATTTAAAAAAAAAAAAAACTGACCATTGGAGGCTCGGACCAGGCCAGTTCGTCATTTGGGAGACCTAGGAACCGCCCCTCTACAGTGCCAGACCGGGTGGCCCAAACCGGGCACATACCCGAGTACCGGGCCATAACAGTACCAGGCCGGTTACGGGCCGGGTTAGTCCATCCCTAGCAACACTCAGTCCATGTAATTGTGAACGCGATTTTCACTATGAGTCATCCAGAAATAATCTCTGTACTTTAGTATAGAGGTAAGATTGCGTACATTCAACCCTCCTTACCCCACCCTGATATGATGACGACAAATTCGTGTTGGGTCTCAACAATACCCAACCAAGGGACAAATTTGTTGGGTCTCCATATAACTTTTTACTGACATACACGTTTTTCATTATACAGCCCCTGGTCCATTACAATAAGTGGAGTTGTATTTTGATGTACAGATGTTTACACATAAAATATCTCATACAATTTGTTTAGAGACCAGGGGACTCACTACTTGATGGACAACCAAGGGACTAAAAGTATACATATGATGGCATGAATAACTGAGGGACTAAATCCGCAATATACTAATAAATGAGGGATCGAAAGTGCTGTCTTAAAAAGATTGAAAAACAATGATCAAGTTACATGCCAGAAATTGCAAAGAGGGTGTATTATATTAAGAATTAGTGCCAAAATTTTAAAAGTCCTTTCATTTTAAAAGTTTAGGTGTATTCAATTTGAACTTTTAAAAGTCTACAAAAATCTAGGTGTATTCAATGTAGACTTTTAAAATTCTATAAAAGTCTAGGCATATTCAAATTTCCGTTCATTCTTATTGACTTCCAAAATCACGGATTCTCGTGGACTTTTAACTCATTCTTAGTACATTATTTCTCTGCAATTGTCTCTTCTCCCCACCAAAGATTTCCATGAATTTTTTAGTTGTCTTCTACTCGTCACAAGTACGCTTAGATTTGATGGCAGTTTTCACTAATTATTTACCCGAGATCACAAACCGGCCAACAAGTCCTGGACTAGTACCAGCCAGGAGGTGGTTATCAAGATGGTTTCAGTATGCAAGATTTGAATATTAAATTTTGATATTTTCTATCATTTTACGATAAATAAAGTTGAACAAAAAGCTCCTACATTAATACTGATACACAAGATAAACTTATCTTTTTAATTTTTAAAAAAATTAAAAAGTGATATTTTATGTCTTTCGTGTAGGTGTGAGATCAATTCAGTTTTTGAAATAAAATTAGGAAGCATTTGAAGAACCGTTAATTTCATGTTGATTCAGTTCTAAAATTTGGAGAGAACCGATATAAGAATCAATAGTACTCCCTCCGTCCCGCAAAGAAGTTCTTAATTTGACCTACACACATATTTTTTTTGAGTATTATTTTGACTTTCCAAGTATACCCTTACTTTACATCAAATCAAACAAAAAATGGGTAAAAAGTAAGGGTAGTTGTGACCTTTTGATCAAAAGTGGTTTCCTTTTATAGAAATGAGAACTTCTTTTTGGGACATCCATAAAAGGAAAGTGAGAATTTCTTTGCGGGACGGATGTAGTATTACATTGGTACAATTCTGGTACATTGTCGGTTAATCATTAAGAAAGAAAATTACCTATTAACGTGTTTCATCGTTAAAATGCTAACACATAAATATAATTTGAAATTACTAAATATTTAACCGTAAATAAATATACAAAATTTAACAAGCGTAAGATGAAAAGAAAACAATTATTAAAAAGAAAAACTCAATTGCACCTATAGTTGTACCACATTTAGTAATGAGTATAACACTTGTGTAATGATCAATGTTCTTACTTATTGAATTATGTAATATAACAATTGAGTTTCTTTTTAATAAAAATAAATTTGGATTAATTCCTTATGCTTCATTTATTCATTTATTTGTTTCATTTATTTATTTTATTGTTTTTATCATATTATACATAGGAAATTACTTACGATAGGACTAAAACTTAACATTTTCCCCAAACTATGGTCATATGTTTGGTTTCATTATATTTCTACCCCTAATTTAATTAATTAATATAATTAATTGTCCATATTTCCCTTGCATAACCAATGTCATTATGTTGGTGGCGGATCAATCTGATGACGACGACGGTGAACTCCGGTGACGGAGGCGGACAGGCAAATCGATAGCGGCGATCTAGGTGAAAATTCTGATGATCGGCAGTGACAGTCCGGATTTAAAAGTCTATGGACTTTTTAAAAGTCTATAAACTTATCTATGGATTTATAAGTCAATAGAATTCACTCATAAAAAAGTCTACGGATTTTAAATTCCATAGACTTTTTGAAAAGTCCATGGATTAAAAAAGTCCACCACAATCCATATTCAATACACCTCCTAAGTTTCTCATTAAATACAATTGTGAAAGCTCATAATGAATTTTCCTTGTTCTCTAAGCTTTGTTGTAAGAAAATATTTACCAAATGACCGGCATGAGAAAGTGACCTGCTAGGCTGCTATGGTACAGTAACTACTCTACAAAACAGGATGGGAGAAATACAGATTTGTGAAAATGTGAGAACTTTTACTCACAACCCCAACTTTTGAATCGAGATCTCTTTAAGAGAGCTTGATAGTCTGTGGAACACTTTTAGTTCATGTCCGATTTTATCCTGTGAAAAACAAGATGCCCAAGAATAAAATATGAGTTTATTTGTTCAGGTTTCAAATTTTAATTTACCTTTTTATGGAACGATTTAAAATAACACAAACTACTAGCAATAGGCTTAAAACAATTCCAATAAATATCAAAAATAATACAAACATGTTTTCTAAGAAATCTGGATAAAGTGATCATATGAAGGTTGGAGGTGTGATGGAATTTCAAAGTTAGGATTAATTTGGTCTCTGGCCATTGGCCAATAGTTTGTAGTGTTTTTTATCCACAGGCAACAGTTACAATTATTTACATCATCACATTAGCCAACTTTTTACCAAAAAATCTGCTTGTTTTATCATTTAGCATTATATTGAAATTGGTTGGGTATCCAATTTAGATTATTTTTAGTCAATTGCCAATAGTTGGTAATAAGTAAACACATTTTCTCTGGTTTTCTAAAACTAAAAACAGATAAATGACATCCAAACACATTTTCAAAGAAGATATGATATAAGTGTAAGTTTATAGTAAAGGGTCATACCTCACTTAGCGACCCAAGCTTTTCCATTGAAGAAATTACTTTCCCACAAAGGAAGTTCAACTCATCATTATTAGTATCAGGCTTCGAACCATACGTGAGCCTCTTTATGGACTTAGTGGGATCACACTCGTAAGAACTGAAATACATAATAAATAATTAAAAACATATTTAATATCTCAAGATAAACAGAACAAGCAATGGGATTACAAATTTATACCTGTCTTGAAAATGGAAGAGGATAATATTCATGACATTTTCTGAAACCAGAAGTAATATTGTAATAAGACGATTTCTGTCTCCAACAATGCGGCACGTCTCCATCATTGCTATATATCTCCTGTGATTTCAAATATTTAAGGGTTCATTTGATGATGGCACAAGGACAACATTGTCTGTTCAAATTGCCCATGGATGAGATGTATAAAATGTGTCTAA